GTTTCATATTTCATTGACAGCTTTTTGAGAGCTTTCTGAAATATTTCGGTGCTGTGTGGGTAATTATTAACTTGTGTGCAAAGGCAAATGTATTAAAGTGTTCGTTTACCTCGTGAGCCAAAGTGTGACATGTATTTAAGTACATGTCCAACAATCGGATGACCTGGTGGTCCTGGTATAAGATTGATAAGCCGCCCATTTCTTCCGTGATGCACATAATAATTCCATATCAATAGAATAAGAATAAATGACAGCAATACAATAGTGATCATTGTTTCTTGACAACATTAGCCAGTCTAATCAGGTTTCCTTTCCTCCAGCACTTTTCTATCGTTCATAAATCACACAACTGATCAAATATGTTTTATTTAGTTTAAAACCAAATTATATTATATAGTATTTACATCTTAAATGTAATTAAAAAATAGAAAACACATTGAAGAATACTTTCTTTTTTATTACGTGTATCACTAAAAACTTTAAATAGATTATAATGTTCCCTTTGTTTTAATAAAAAATGTGTGTAACAATTAACATATATGAATTTTATAAAAACTTGTTTTAATTTATATAATGTATAATATGTTGAATGAATATTTATTGTCAAAAAAATCCCAACGTTTTGATTCAATTGGGATCTTCTTTAGCAAAACTACAGAGAACGAAAAGGATACAAGAAGTTCATAAAATTATTCGTCAAACGCCAAGAATAAATACAATTAAAAGTGAATAATTAATAGTGTTATAAAAAAGTCACATAGATTAACATAATAATATCTTTAGTAGTAGTAGTAGTATTTTATTAAACACGTACCAGTTAAGGTTGACTAAAGATAAATTAACATTTGCAGTCCAAAAAATAACAATGTAAAAGTGAAATTTTAACTGTCTTCTGGTCTCTAGAGAAAAGGTACGAGTCTCCAATTAGTTAAAGTCTAAAGATAAAAGTTAAATTCAAAAACGATCAACTGATGAAATTATAGTCGTGGTAGTGAACGAAAAGATAACGTTCATGAAACTCACCAGATAGAAGAAAAGACAAGTTGATAGAGACAGTCCGCAACCGAATGTCAAAGTACATTTGAAAGTGATATACGACAAAATATTATTGAGTGTTATTGAGTGTTACGTGAGCGATAAAGAAAAAGAGGGTGGGGGCATGAGACGACTATTACAAGATAAGAAGTGTCAAAAGAAAAGCATAAAAAGTAAAAAAGACTAGAGACATGAAATTCAATCATTATCAAAATGGTTAAAAATTTTATTGTACCTATTGTTTAAAGGCTCGTCTACACGACAAGGCGTAAGGCGCGGCGCAAGAGCGTGGGCACAGGCGCAAGAGGATTTTTCCCGATCGTAGGGTCGTGGCGCAGCGGCGCAAGCGAAATAAACTAATTTTATTTCCAACGCCTGCGCCTGAGCTCTTGCGCCGTGCCTTGCGCCTTGTCGTGTAGACGAGGCTTAAGAGATCTGTGCAACATACGGAATTCGGTAAAAAAGGAGTAGCTCTTTTACTCTATCGTTATCACAAAGCTAGTGACTCAGC